TACAACAGAACTATGTTGATTTCAGTGGCCAAGATGATTCACTGACAATTAGTTAGATACCAGCATCCCTCTGTATTGTTTAGCACAGATTCACTCAAAGATGACAAGTCTGAGAAGGATGGTTTACTCAGGGTGTAAATCCTTCAACAGACTTATCTGTTAAGACTTCCCCTAAGCTGGAGAGCTACAAAAACAGATGGAAAACATCAGAACAGTAAGAACAGTATGCATATCTACACTGGCTGCCCTTTTGTAACACAAAAACATACACATTAACTGTTCATGTATAAACAATATAATCATACTTTCGTCTTGCAACACAACAGTTATTTTAGGCTAAGAACAGCATACGTGAGGATAAAATCAAAAACCCAGAGCTTTTCAGTATTTCAGTCTGACTCCTACTGCTTTAAAGTTCTTTCTTCTAGTATATTTTAATATTTCAATAATTCCCACTTGTAAGATCTACTATAATAATTTTTTGTTGTTGTCATTCAAGCTTGATATTTAGAGGTTTCTGGTGTAGTTATCACTCTACCTGTATGCATCCTAGATAACCATGTTGAGCAGCTATGTGAACAGCAGTATTTCCATCCTGGTCAACTTCATCCAGTGAAATCCCTTGTTCTTGCATAAACTGAAGAAGCCACAGAAGAATTTTCTCCTAGGAGGAGGGAAAAAGAAATGTCACAAAACATAAGAAACAATAAAAAGCTAAATATACCAAAGGAATACTGATACTGTTATCTGTCGGTACTGCCATCTGTTACTAATACTGTCCAATAATTCCTTGTTTTCAGCCTCCTTAACTTTGTAGGACTTAGTGTATCATGGGTCTCTGGTTTGGTTTTTTTTGTTGCTGGTTGGGTTTTTTTTCCCCCAAGAAAATAGGCTGAAATACTTTTATAAAAATAATACTTTTATAATAGGAAAAATAGGAGAACTGTAACCCATTCTGAGAAATTGTACTTAAAGAGCATGCATACCTCTGTGCTGGAGATGAAACTTGAGGCAGAATAACCCATGTATCAGTCTTAAAATCTTATCGTCTTAAAATCTTAAAATCATCTTAATCTTAAAATCAGCTTGTGAAATTTCAAGCTTCATAAGCCTCTTTGGAAAATTAAAACAGGAATATGCTCAGATCACAGAGCTCCTGTGACTCTCCAAATCTAATGGACTAAAGGACCATCTGTATGTTCTGCACGCTGGGAAGGATGGGGAGACTTGGATGGCAAAACTTGTACGTGAAAGTCGGGAAGTCAAAACTGAGTTACAAACTTAATTTTTTTAACATCACTTTTTATACGAGTATGTGGGTGCAATACACCTTTATATGGGTATTCTTGTCTAACAATGGAGACTTTATATATGCTCACTAAGCTTATTTAATTTGTTATTTTCTCCAGCAGGTTGATTTGCAAAACACTTCTCTCTAGGAACCTTGCATGCCTCTCCAGATTAAATTTTATTTTGCCCTACTGAATGTGATACATATTGAAAATCTAGAATAAATATATGAATTACATAGAAAAGTGAGGTCCATTAAAGGAAAGCTGACTACAGCTATATTCCCAGTTTTTGCATCTGAGTAGTTGAAAAGATTAAATTACTTCCTAGCTTAAATTTTTTATTTAAGCACATATTTTTAATTATCTTCCATTGATATCTAGCATGTTATACTGTCTTGGAGCTCTCATTCAAAAGGGCTTTGTAGATTCTACTGTTGCTGAGGCAAACTCTGATCCACAGATTTAACCTGCAGCACCTCAGTAGCTTCAGTGATAGAAAAGTACATACAGTTACGCATGCGGGTCTGAAAAAATGAAGTGTACCTAAATAAAGCAGTATTGAAACCATATGTAGGACTCCAAGCAATAATCAGGTAAAGAAGAGAAAGAATAATACTGTGGAAAGAAAATTCCAGGAAGGTTGGGTATAAACCTATGTTTTGTATAAAAGTACCACTAAAATTTTAAACTCAATGAAAAGGAGAAGGATCATCAGACTCTTCTGGATCTACTCCAACTGATTCTGCCCATTCAAGCACCTGGATCTCTGCTTACTACTTAAGAGGCCTAATCTGTCTGGTAAGTATCTTCTTCATATTTTCACTTTAACAGCAGTTTTGTTTTTATTACAGGGTGAAAGCATAGGTATTTTTACTTCTCATTGGCTGAATGCCCAATACAGCTGACAGCCAGCACGGAGAGATGACTTCAGATCACATATCCCTTTCAAAACATTTTTGAGCAATTTTTCAATATGCCAGTGATGTTGGCAATGAAGAAGGATTACACTACTCCTATGAATTGCCCCTATGTTTTAATAATTAAAAGAAAAATATTTTAGCAAAAGTCCTCTGCAGAATTGGAAGACAACGTAGCTTTGAAATCATATATTTCTTTGGAACATAATAGGGACCAGACTGTTAAGCATGTTCTGTAATTTTATGATCACAATCAGCACGGAGCAAATGACACTTTCCAGTCATTTATGAACACGAATGTAAGGACTGTCTGTGCATCAAATGATCATAGGCACAAAGTCATAGTCCCACTCAAATAGTTTGTGTTTCTCTCAAATTACTAGTTTTTGTATTTAATTTATCCTTGACAAAAATAAGGAATTTTTTTTTCACTTAAAACTGTGGAAAATGGAAACATCATATATCAAAATATACCAGATATCACTTTCGTAACACTCATATTATGTATTTACAAGGAAAGTGTTCTCAAACATAGTTTTACAGTCCTAATAGGTTTATAGACATCAACTCAATTTAATCAGGCAAAATGAAGGATAATAAGAAAATTCAGGAGATTAAGATCATGGAAAACAATAATTTTTTTGTTATGTAACAAGAACTGATAAATACTGATTAATTATTCAGTATATCTGGTATTTTTAAGACTTAAAATGCTCTTACGTTGTAGCAGTTGTTAACATCCTTATGGCATATTCTAGACCTACAATAATTCAAACTTTCCAAAAAGAAGATTTTGGAAAATTTGGGATAGACTGCAAACTTTGGTTCCATCAGCTGGCTTTTGGAGAAGAAAGTACAACTAACAAAATCAGGGATTACTGCAAGGTCTATATTAAATGGACTACAAATGGAAAGAATAGCATGGTAAAGAGCACCAACTCTACAGCTATTCCTAGCCCTATCAGTTGATATTAATGAAATAAGCTACCCTTACCAGTGCTCCTTCATAACAAAGAGGTAGGCTTGAGTGAAAACAAGACATTATCCTTGCAAAAATTATATTAGACAGGCAGACAAACATTCTGAGGTGTAAAAAAACATGTGTTCTTAGGCATCTGTGTATCTGAATGTCATATACTTCTCCTGACTATGCTCCTCAGCACTGAACCACCATCAGGTTGTGCACAGGACCCTTCCTAGGTCCTCAGTCATACAGTCCATACTACCACAGTATTCCTGTTGGAAAGGAATCACAGCCCTGTGAACCTCTTAGTCAGGACCTAGGATAATGTGCACCTAGGACTGCACCACCATCTTCCTGTGACATGGTGACTGCCATGCACAGCTGGTACACAACATGCCATGTACTCATACCGGCATGAGCTGGCCTGCTGCAATCATGGTTGCTTCTTGCATAATCTCATGCTTAAAGAACCCCTTGCTAGGAGATATGCTATCAGGCTACAGATTGACTTTAAATCTTTGCCCTCAGACATCAGATTGACATATACGGTCCCTCTCCCACTGGAAAAATATAGTATTGCTGACATGTCTTTGCAGTCAGGCCATGACTGTGGTTTGATGATCTTTAACACAGGAGCTTTGCTATGAACTCCCATTTGCTGCCCATTCTAAACTATAATCCTTGAAGAAAAACATGGGGCGCATGTCTAATGCCTGGGGAAACAATGGATGGACTGACTCTTGTAAAAAATTATTCAGTAACAGGTCTTCCCTGTAAAAATATTACTCTTGAAATTCTGCCAAGACCAGTGTTTACACGGATTGTCTCTCATGTAAGTAATGGTAAAATAAATTAAAGCTTCAAGGACAGTGCCAACTAAGCATTTAAATTCCTCATTATTTTTCTTCTTAATACAGTTGGGTAAGACAGCCTGACACCCCTTCAGCCTCAGCATTCCCTCGTGTTTGCAGGATGTTTATGGATTATGAAAAAAAGATAATTGACATTATATGTGAACTTTCTTTGGCATTCAGCTAACTAAGAAACTTTGGCAGCAATTTTTATATCACCTTTTAAATTTCACGGGTGGCTGATTGTAGCTGGTGTTTCTTAACTGGTAGAGCTTCCATTCTGGTCTGAAAAGAATCTAGATAAAATGTGCCAGACCTGTTCCTGGCAGTAGACAGCATAACTCACTGAAAAAACTCAAAGCTTCATTGCCTTCAGTTCATATAAATATTTTTAGAAATGAGGACAAAATTAGGCAAATAATTGAAGATATGAATTGAAGTTCACAAGCAACTTTCGTTTCCAGGTTTTTTCTTCCCAGTAGCAAATATGCCTTTCTTGAATCCAGTTCTGATCTGGCTCATAGCTTCCCTATGTTTAGTGTTGGGTTTAGAGGCTAAACCTAATACAAAAAGTATCATCAATACGTATATCCGACAGGGTCCTAACTGGCACCAGTAATATCTGATTTGTAGGCGAGCAGAGAAAAGGCAGAGGAGGTCTTTGCACAGCATGAAAACAAGGGTGTCTGTACGCCTATAGAAAGAGCAGAGAAAGTGCAGACTTCCAGCTCCATAGCCTTCCAAACCTGCCTCCTC